TTAGTAGAGGAAGGTGAAACGGGTACCCACGCAATGCCACCACACAGGCTGAAAGATGTGGTGGTGGGACTTAGGTTTGCAGAGCTGGGTGTCATCATTTATTTCCAGCCATGTGCTTCCCCACGGGTGCACTTGTTCGAGCTGCAAAGGTTGGAGCTGTAGCCAGATGCCGGTTTCTTCGCCACTCAGGCAACTTTTGACCACGTAGGCCATATGGTTCAAGAAGAGAGGCTGCTCCACGCACAAAGTTTGTTGCAGCAATTGTATGTTCTTGCTGCACAGCAGAGTGGGGTCAGATAAATTCCGGCGCCATTGGTCTGAAGCAGGACGCGTTGGCAACAACAGCTCCCACCTAGCAAGTCCATGTTCCTGAGCCTGTTGTTTTGTCACCTCCAGAAAGCGCGTGACCAGTTGGCGTTGGATTTGATTGTGATCAGCTAATTTTCCCTTTTGCCTATCCACTATGCCTCCACCCTTGAGGCATCTATGTTTCGATTCATGTGTTTCACAGTGTGGCAAGAAGCCCAACTTCAATGCAGCCTCTGGCAAGTGAAATCGATGATGATGCTTCGGGACGCACGCAGCGGCGCTGTATGCAGCGGTGAAGCTCTCTTGATGCTTTGCTTGCGCATCACGCAGACACGCAACTTGCCATTCATGCTGAATGGAAGCGAACCGCTTTCTCAAAAAACGAAGTTCGCGGCTACATTGGTGTAAGCAGCCGAGGCTTCGCATGTTGCCTTCAAGTTCAGCTTTCTTTGGCACTTGTTCGTGCAGGACGTACCAAAGCACAAAGACAAGTGGTTCAGTGTCAGTGCCATCTCCCTTATATGTTTTTCCCTCGAACATTTTGGCAGAGAAAATTCTTCGTAGAAAATTCACTGACGCTCTCATCGTCTTCCCCGAGCGGCACCACGCGCCATTGCAAGCTAAATCCTCGAGATTCTTCAGGGATATATCATTGTTCTCCAGAATTTCCACCAGCAATGACACCTCCAAGGACGCAATGCCATTGGCATAATAGTTATGCAAGACATCGTTGCAAGCCAAGGTAGGTGGAAGTACTCGAAGAGCTGCTGTGTCCGACAAGATTGAATTCGCATCCCAGGTTAACCCATATGCCTTTTCCCACGCATCTCTTTCACTTTTTTTGTTCAAGGTTGCAAGATGTCTGGCAGCAATTGCAAAGTCCCGGTCTTGAATCGGAGCGAATTTCCACCATGCAGCAGATGCAATCGACTCAAATGTGCCATCAGAGTCACCTGCAGGCAGAGCTTGTTTTGAAATCACATTGCTACAAAACATGCACGGTTTCAGGCCTGCAGATCCTTTCGTTGACCACGTCGCCCGTTGGGCTTCCATGTCAGACAGAAAAAGAAACTGTGCTGCCAACGTGAACGAGAGTGTCTTCTCACCGAACTGCAGTTGCAATCCTGTCAGGAGAACTTCCTGTGAAATGCTTTTGACCATCTGTGCCAAGATGGCCGATAGTCCACCTGGAATCTTGTCCTGCTGAATGCGTTGGATGACAAGCAGAGGAAGCCACGCAGCTTCGAGGCTTAGATGCGCCTTCATTTCGCGAAAACCAAGATACACCGCGGTCACTTTCTTGACCTTGTGCACTGCTAAGATGTTGCCACATGTGATGTCATCATGATATAAAATCGGCTGTAGCAACCCCTCGTTCGCTGCATGCGCTTGCAAAAGAGCGTTCTGCCACGCAGGCACATCGACAACGTGGTTCAGAAGCGATTGAAGAGACGGCAACCAAACGACTTCGTTTGTTCCAGTGACTTCCCAGGCTCGCTCATAACATGCTCTGGCATCACTTAGACGCTCAGATGACAAAGTCTGCATCTGCCCTTTCTTGACCTCGCAGGCATTGTCTCGCAGACGGCTCGCAATATTCCAAATCTCGAGCGCGCGGCTCTCGGCTACATTTGGCACTGCCAGGCAGTCTTTCAGATTGCTTTCCTCTTCGGCGGTCAGTTTCCGTTTCCGCCCCACCCGTTTCGCCATGGCGCAGCACAGGGGCTAGTGGCGAGGCTCTTAACGAGTGCATGTTTAATTGTTTTCATATGCACATATGGATAGATATATGTATTTTATGATACAGATACATATATATATATATATACATATAGATTCAAGCACGTATGTATCATGTATGTGTCCATGTGTCTGCACATATACGGTTATACGATTGTTCGACGGCTATCATTTCTTATAATATTTTATGCATCGCTTTGCCACACAGTAAACAGACAAATCATCATGCAGCGGAATATCTTTGAGCCAGCTCTTCAACACGTCGACTAAAACCCTCCCCGTTGAAGTGACTGTTTCACGCGGCCGCATGCTGCTCTGAGGCTCCCTTTTCCCCAATTGACCCAAGGAAGGTCGGCATCTTTCGTGAGCAGGGCTCTGCGGTGAGAAGCCTAGATCCTAACAACATATATAGCAGTGCCAAAATCGTCTTGCCCTTGCCTCCGCGACATGCGAGGCACGGCCACTATATCATCATCCCGCACGCAGCGCTCATCGACCCTTGAGTCATTTCTCCGTGGCCACTCCGCCCTCAGCGACTTTCTCTTTCTCTTTTTCTTTCAAAGCCTTCAAGGCGATGCGAATTTCTTTCTGCACTTCGGCTGTCGCCTTCGTGTAGTCCTGCAAATCTTTGCCACTGAAGGGCAAATCAGCGAGACGAGCCCCTGTGCCTTTGGCTGCTGTTGCCAACGGGAGCGCATCCACGCAGGCTTTGTTCCACACGTTGCCGCGTTCCATCGCTTCCTCCAAACTCTTCAGAGCCTCAGGCAGATCCAAATTGGCCTTTTGCGCTTGCTGCTGCAAAGCCTGCGAAGACTTCAGTAGCTTGGCAGCCAGCAAAGCCATGGCTTCATTAGCCTTGTTCGCTTGGCTCGCAGCCCGCAAAGCAGATTTCTCTGCCTTCTCCTTGGCAGCCGCACTCGGGGTTCCTGTCTTCGCTTTCTTCGCTGTCGGACCTTCCCCGCTCGCAGCGGGCTTGTGCGGCACCACATCCCACTCTTGCTCTTCAGTGTCCTCATCCTTAGCAGCGCGTTTTCCCTTCTTCTTGTTTGCCAAAACTTCTTTTTCTTTCTGTTGCAGTTGTTCTTCAACCAGCTGCCTTGCTTCTTTCATGGTCGTGGACTTCACGGGGACTGCATATAACGTCCCCTGGTGCGGATCCTCTTCGGACGGATACTGTTTCACAGCTTCCTCAGTCCATCCCTTCCTCACCCACACAGAGAGAGGAAGGGATTTCGCGGTCACCTGATTGGACTGCTCTTTGATGAAGCGTGTCGCCTGACACTCAACAATGAGCGTCTTTACCGTCGCCCAATTCAACCCCGCCACCTCCAGAGATGTGGAGCGACGGAAGAAGTCATTCCGTGCATCCACTGACCATCCCTGCGCCTCCGACGAGCCGAGGTGACGATACAGAAGCGTCTCCAAGGTCAGGCAGTGACGGCACGTCCAGGTCTTACCTTTCACGCGTCCGGGGGCTGTGGATGGCAATGTACGGCAACACAGCTTACAAGTCAAGACGGGCGGCACACTTGGTGCCTCACCAGCCTCGCAGACCGGTCCTGATCCATTGGAACCCGCCGGAGGCACGCTCGGTGCCGGTGCAGCTGCCGCGACAGACGACATCCCAGACGCGTTGGTACACAGCAAGAAACTACATACGGAACAAAAATGGCTGCAGAGACACAGACCTGGCCGACATTGGCCGACATCTGGCCGACACGCGGTTTTCATCCAAAATACACGTTGCTATGTATTACTTTAGTCTGGCCGACATACCGGCCGACATCGTAGATATCTATGGCTAATGGACCTTGGCCGACATCTGGCCGACATGCATTAACATCCCAAAAACAAAGTCATTATGCAATGACATTATATCCGATATATATTTTTTGGGTCGAACATCGACAATTCTAATTACAGAAACTCTTCCTCCGAGTCCGCTCCCCACAATAAAAAAACAAAGGCCACATGCACTTCAGGGATCTATTGAAGCAGACCAGTTCCCCTCCCATCCTGCATACCACATTTTTCCGCCCAGCGAGCTCGGTGTGAAGCTGTGCTTCCGGCAGGTTCCACGCGTGTCTCTCCTAGAGGTGCCACGTCGGACTCTGTGCGTCCGATCCCAGGAGTTCACATGTTTATATTGTCAATTGTTCCATGCTTGGGGCATATTATCTTTTAGCGTGCTTGTTTCATTTTGTTTCTCCAATCCCAGCCAAGGGTGGTACATGTGAACTCCCTCGTGGACTTCTGTGCGCGCCGACGCCCCTCGCAGAGACTGACCCACTACCAGGCCACGCGGACCATGTGCCAATGATGGCCAATGCCTCTCAGGCACGAACCACCTTGTAGGTGCCACGACCAGTGCGCTGCAGCATCATCTGGTCACCTGGACTCTCAGAGTCCTCATCATCCGGTGGGCTGTCGCGCTTACGGCGACGCACCACTTCCGGGGACGGAGAGCTGGAGATCAGAAGCACCTTCTTCTGCTTGCGCTTTTTCTGCGGCTTCCGCACCACGACGTACTCCACCGTCTCCTTCCTGTGCTTCTGAGTCGTGCGGTCCGCCTTCTCCTTCGTGGCAGACGTCGCCTTGGGCTTCTTGTCTCGAAGCGTCTCATGGACACGTGTCTCCGCTTCTTCCCTTGGACGCGTCTCGCGGACACGTACCTCAGACCCCTTCTCGGCGCGCGTCTCGCGGACACGCGTCTCTGGCTTCTTCTCTCGACGCGTCTCGCAGACGCGTGTCCCTGCCTTCTTCTCACGTCGAGACTCACGGACGGGCCTCTCAGGCTCCGGCTCGTCACGCGTCTCGCGGACACGCGACGCCGCTGCCTTCCTTGCTCTGCGTCTGCCACGATCCTTCGCCGGAGACAGATGGGCACGAGCAGCATCATGCGCCACGTGGGCACGTCCATGGTTTCCCTCGTCTCTTTCACCATAGAAAGGATCAGCTGGAAAGGGACCCTGAGCATCGCCTTTTGATTACAATCAATTAGCCCCTATGATTTTTAAATTGATTTTTTTTTGAAGAGGTAAAATCAAAAAGGAAAAATCCTTGCTTTGAGGCATTTTGTTAGGAATTTCCTTTTTGATTTTGCTTGTTTTCGATGGAGGTTTTTCTTTTGATTTTTTTGGTGTTTTTCCAGGCCTGTCTAGTAGCCATTTTGCTGCTGCAGCACATGGTTTTCATATGTTTCTGCAGCTGTTTATAGCTAAAACATAGAAATCGATATACACATCAAACATGGAAAGCTTTGGAAAAGGCAAAAGTGACAGCTGTGGAAGTGAAGGCTCTGGAAAAGGCAAAAGTGAAGGCTTTGGAAAAGGCAAAAGTGAAGGCTTTGGAAAATGCCAAAGTGAAGGCTTTGGAAAAGGCCAAGAAGAGGGCTTTGGAAAAGGCACAGGAAAGGGTGGTGCCAGACACTTTCCAAAACCTTACATAGATTCAGGTCTGCTTTACAAAGTATTGGCAGACAATGTGTTGGTTTTGAAGAACCTGGGCAGCTATGAGCATGTCTCCAAAGCCAATTGCCCTTGCCCAAAAGGGTTGGTCCACACCATTGGGCTCTGGAAGTCAGTGCTGAGACTTGAACCTTCTGCAGAGGTTCATCCTCAACCTCTGAGGACAGCACTGATCAGCCTGTTGGCTGAGAGGCCAGAGCTGAATTGCACCTCGAGCTCTGGCCAGGTGTGGGCTAACCTGAGAATGGAAAGGATCTCTTGCATCCTCTTCCATGTGAGGAAGCTGGGCAGGGATGGGCTCACAACTGCTGCTGCCAAACTCTGCAGAGGTGATTTCTCACTGCTGCAGCAAGGTTTGAAGCTGCTGGAAATCCCAGATGCTTTGGAAAAGGCACCTAAACCAGTGGCACTTCCTTTGGAAAAGGGAAGAGCAGCAGAAAATTCAAAGAGAAAGCTGAAAAAAGAAAACAGTGATGTTTCCATGGATAGCAAAGGTTTCCCCAAGATGTTTGAAGACAGCAATGCAGGCACACCAAAGAAAAAAGGCACTTCCTCTGCTGCTGCAGTGTGCATTGCCAGAAAAAGGCCTGGGCAAATGGTATCTTTGGAAAAGGATGGCTTGCAAGCTGCCTTGGGGTATGGGAAAAAAAACATTGAAAAGGCCAGCATCTGCTTTGGAAAAGGCACTGAAAAGGCCAGCATCTGCTTTGGAAAAGGTAGAGAAAGCAAAGCCCAAGGAAGATGCAGGCAAGAATAATAAGAAAGAAAAGAAGAACCATGCAAAAACTTCTTTGGAAAAGGAGAAGAGAAAGCCTTGGCTCAAGATAAAGAAAACAGTGGCCAAGAAGAATCCCAGAGCTTACTTGACAGGCACCACAGAAAAAGGTGGAAAGTTGAAGTTGATTGTGGAAGTGTCTGGTGCTAGGTGCCCAGATTGGCACGGCCAAATTATTGATGAGATTTGGACTTCTTTGGAAAAGGAAGCATTGACAAAGTCAGAGGCCATAGCCCTGAGGGAAAAACTTTGCAAGGAATGGGGTGCCAACTGGTAGATGCTGCATGTGCACCTCAAGCATTTGGAAAAGTGCTCCAGCAATTTTGAAGCAAGTGGGTGCCTTTGGAAAAGGGCATGCATCTGAGAAGTGTCTAGCAAGGCAAGCCCCAACATGGGGCCCGCCCACAGCTGACTAATTTTGCTTGAGGAAAAAAGCATCCAAGAAGGCACTGGGGCCAGGAGGGGTTAGGCTGGTGTCACCCAACCAAAACAAACCACTTCAAACCCCCTTAAATAAACAAATAAATAAATAAATGAATGAATGAATAAATAAATAAATGCACACATATATACATATATACACATGTATATACATATAGATATAACCACTGCTTTTTAAAATAGGAATATACCACATGTGCATATATATATGTATATATATGAATGTGTGTATGTATGTATATATATATATATATACACACACCCAAACCTGTTTTCAAACATGTTTTCAAACCTGCATGGTTTGTTCTTGTATAAAAGTTGTAACAAACTGTTTGCATTTAAAAAAACATGCATGTCTTATGTGCTCTTTGAAAAAGGGGCAGGTAGTTTTGGGCCCCAATGCATTTTATGTTTCTGCAGCTGTTTTAAACTCAGCTAAGAGCAGGCTCACAGCAAACACCACACCACAACACTTACAACACATAGCAATTTTGCAAACAATTCCACAGCTACAACTCACAGCAGCATATATGTCGGGACAAGCAACATAACAACTAACACTCACTAGGTCACAGCCGCAACACAAAATTTTGTAGTTGGGGTTGGGAAATCCAAGGGTTAAAACAACCCTTTCACTGGGTTTGGAAAAGCCCTAGGTTTTGGAAAAGACCTTGGTTTTGGAAAAGACCTAGGTTTTGGAAAAGACCTGGGTTTTGGAAAAGGCCTTGGCTCAAAGAACCCAGCTGCCATGTCAAACCAGTGGGATGACTGGGATGACTGGGAAGACTGGCAGGACTGGGGGGAGCCAAACAGGTATGGGTTTTATGGCCTGAACTGCAAGAACAGGCCATCAGGCACAGGCACAACCCATGCCAACAGAAGGGAGGCCAGAAGGAATCTCCAATGGGACAGCCTTACCAAGGCTGCCCCAGACACAGAGCAGAGCCTGGCCTCCCAAGCTGCAGCTTTGGAAAAGGCTGCAGGCAAAGCCAGGAAGAAACTGGATGAGATGAAGAAAAAAAGGGAGGATGAAGAAAAGGAAAAAGAGGAAGAAGAGGAAGAAGAGCAAGCCTCTTCTTCCACCAATGTGAACTACAGGGCCCCAAAAAAGAAGAAGAGGCACAAGTCCACCAAAAAAACTGCTTTGGAAAAGGCAGAAGGTGCTGAGCCAGCTTTGGAAAACTCTGAGGCTGAGGGCACAATCAGAAGGGGAAGGCGGGCCAAGCATGGCCAAAAGGAACTGCTCAGGGCCAAGGGGGAGGAGGAGGAACTCCCTTTGGAAAAAGGGAAGAAAACAAAGCAGGATCAAGATGTGTCTTTGGAAAAGGACACCAAAACACAAAAGAAGCCCACTGGGTCTTTGGAAAAGGACACCAAGGAAGACAAAACCATTGGGTCTTTGGAAAAGGACACCAAAAAAGATCAGCCCACTGTGTCTTTGGAAAAGGACACCAAGGAAGCAAAGCCCACTGGGTCTTTGGAAAAGGACACCAGGAGAAAGGATTACAAGACGCCAATCATGGTAGTTGATTGGCACAATACAATTGAAAAACATGACAGGGTGACCTTCCAAAATGAAAAAGCACCCAACAAGTTGATGGACTATGCAGGTGTGCACATTCTGTCATATGTTGAGACCCAGTGGAGGGGGAATGAAGTCCACAAGCAGGTCAAGAATCTGCTTAGCCCCAGCACCAGAAGGAAGCTCAAGGGGGTCCACTGCTGCTATGAGAGGGTGGGCCTGCATGGCAAGCTGGGCTGGTGCAGAAAGCTCCATGCAAGTGGCATCATTGATGATAACAATGATATCATCAATGAGTGCAGGGCTGAGGGGCTACTGTGCTTTGCAGTGGTGACCAGACACTGCCAGCATGGCAACCTGCCAATCTCAATGATCTGTGATGATCTTGAGCAGGCAGTTGAAGCCTTCCTGGAGATATAGGAGGCTGGCAGGCTTTGGAAAAGGCCCACTGCAATGGCAAAGGCTTTGGAAAAGGCAGCTCCCAAAAGGTTTTGGAAAAGACTTAAGCCCTGGCATGCCTTTGGAAAAGGGCTGCACCAGAAAAGCCTTTGGGAAAGGGCACCAGAACAAATCTAGAGCCTTTGGAAAAGGGCCCTAAACCTTTGAGAAAGGGTCCAAAACTTTTGGAAAAGAGTTTGGATTCAGTTTCACCAGCAGAACCTTTGGAAAATGGTTCAAAACTTTTGGGAAAGAGTTTGAATTCAGTTTCACCAGCAGAACCTTTGGAAAAGGGTTCAAATTGTACAGAAACCAGCAGGCCCACAAGTGGCCAGCTGGGGAACCCAACCAACTAATGAATAGTGAAAATGAAATATAGATGATAAAATAGATAAATTTAATTTAAAAAATATTGAAATTAATTCTAAATTCAAAATATTGGTTTATGATATCTGAATTACAGTATATCAGGATGAACATAGATATGTTTACCTTTAGTCAAACCATAAAAACACATAATAAAGATAAATATTTGTATATATTTTAAATGTGTATATTTGAGATTTTTTGAAAACAAAATTAGATAGAATAAAGTAAAGTGTACAAAACAAACACTGAAAACAAAAGCAAGACAAACCATGTGCATGTGAATTTGTTTTGGTTTTTTAGTTTTGAGAAGAGCCCTTTTCCAAAGGCTTCTGATGACAAAATTCTAGGAATCAGTAAGACCCAAACAAATTCACTGGAATTTTATTTGAATTCAAAAAAATCACTTGAATTCAAAAATATTCAAAAAAATCAAATCTGATCAAATCTGATCAAATCATAAGATTTGATCAGATTTGATCAGATTTTGTTTTTTTGTGTTTTTTGTTTTTTTGTGATATTTGCTGAATTCAAGTGAATCATTTTCTGATTTCAAAAGTGTTCTCTTGTAACCTTGTTGAATTCCAACAATGTTTGGGTTTTGATGCAAATTGTTGTTGCTGAATCCCAGTGAAATTTTGGCCCAAAAACCAAAGCAACCTTAGTCGCCAAGTTGTGTTTAGGATCTATGGGGCCCAAGAAAAGCATGAAAGCAATGAAAAAAGACCAGGGTTTGGGAAAGCCCAGTATTTTGAAAAAGCCAAAAGCAGTAATGAAAAAGCCCAAAGCCAAAGCAAAGACAAAAGCAACTGGCTCCAAAAATGCTGCTTTGGGAAAGGCAGCCAAAGCCAAAGCCAAAAATGATCTGAACAGGTCCAATTTGGAAAAGTTGGGCAAAATGTCACTGGATGAAAAAATCAAAGCAGCTGCTGCCCAAGGAGGGACCACTGAAGAGCAAGCCCAAACTTTGAAGGACAGCCTCACCAAAGTGGAACATGCAAAGGTTTGGTCCAGACACCAGACACATTTGAAAAATAACCCTTTGGAAAAGGGGGACTTGGAAGGCATGAACAAGAAAGAGAAAGGCATGAGGGCTGCCCAGTGGCTTATGGAGACCTCTGGGAAGAAGTACCTCCATGCCTCAAGAGAAGTGGAGGCCAAGCAAAAAACGACCAAAATGGACAACTGGATGTCAGAGAAGCAGGCCACAGACAAGTTTGGATGGGATGAGCTGGTGCTGCACTGCAACTCTGGCAGAGTTGTGTGGCGCCAAGACCCATCCACAGCAGGGGTCTACCAGTACAAAGACCTCCAAGATTTCCAGAGCCAAGTGGAAGTCTCAAGGGGATCCAAATGGCAACAGGGACAGGAAATGGAACCTGGAGATGAGGAGCAGGACAGGTTCAACACCTTGTACCATCAAGATGCCATGTCCCTTGGCTTGGAGGACATAGCAGGTGGAAAAGGCAAAGGCTTTGGAAAAGGCCAAGGGAAAGGAAAAGGCAAAGGAAAGGGCTTTGGAAAAGGCCAGAGCCAATTGGCCATCAAGGACAAAGAGGATGAGGATGAAGAAGAAGAGGAAGAAGATGAAGAGAAAGAACTCAAGGAAGCTTTGAAAAAGGCAAGGAAAGCCAGGGACACAGTGTCCAGCACACAAAGTGATTTGGAGCTGGCTTTGGAAAAGGCCAGCCCAAAGCTGAGCAGGCAGGGTAAGGCTGGAGCTGAGGGTTGGTCAAGCCAACTGACCAAAGTTTTGTCCCAGCTCAAGATGGTTTTGAGTGGAAAAAAGAAAACCACAAGCTCTGATTTGAAGGCCCTCTTGGAAGAAAGTGCCAAGCTGGTGAAGGGTGCCAAAGATGAAGCAAAGGGGCTGAAACAGCTGGCCAACAAGGAAGCTTCTCTGGCTGGAAGCAAGAGGTCTAGGGGCAGCAAGTAAGATTTTGGAAAAGATCATTGCATGCCAGGCAGCAAAAGCATTTGAAAAAGTGCTGGTGGAAAGCATTTGGGAAAGTGCTGGTTTTGGGGCATGTGCAGCCTTTGGGAAAGGGCAATTTTGGGTACATTGGCAGCCTTTGGAAAAGGGCACTTTCCAACATATAGCTTAGGAGTAGCTCTTCCAAAATGGGAGAAGCCACTGCACAGAGCAATATAGACTAGGCGACAAAAGGCCACTATAGCTGTCTGCAGCTTGGGGGAAGGGTGGGGGGCAGGGACAAGGTGAAATGTAAAAATGCAAAATAACATGTTTCTTGAAATCAGCACCACCAAAAGGAATGAAACCAAGTTGTACAGGCATGGGTTCTACATGTACTTGTAGCTTTTGTAATTGTAGTTTGTGTTTCTGTTTTTTGTAAAGCCACACATATGTGTCAGGTATATCTATATCTATATCTATATCTATATATATTTATATCTATGTATGTATATATATATAAATACATATATATATATATATTATTTATGCATATATTATATATATATATATATAGATTATTTATGTATATATATATGTGTGTGTGTGGGAGAGCAATAACCATCCCCCCAGGTAGCTTTGCAAAGGCATGTCCTGTCCACCTTCACTCTCCACCCTCACTCTTCTTCTTTTGCAACAGGTATATGTTTCTGCAGCTGTTTTCAGCTCCTGTTCAAGCTTGTAGGAAGGGGCTTTGAAAAAGGCAAGGGGCTTTGGAAAAGGCAAGGGGCTTTGGAAAAGGCAAGGGGCTTTGGAAAAGGCCAGCAGCAGAGCCATGGCAAAGAGGCTCAGAGGCTGGCAGCTAGAATATGAATCAGGGAAGGCACCTAAGGCCAGAGCCAGCAAAGCTTTGGAAAAGGCAGGTGGTTCTGTTGCAGAATCGGCTTTAGCAAACAAATTGCTGAACCTTTGGGCAAAAGGAGTCCTGAGTGCAACATTACTTCAGTCCTTGGCAGCTTCTGCCATTCAGGATGGGGCCCAGCATCAGGACCTTGTGGCAATCGCACAAACAGGCAATTGGGGGTCCCAGCCTGGGAATTGCCATAGACAAATCATGAGCCATTTTTGCTCCAATGTGCAGATTGCTGACCCATATGAAGTGGAAGTTCCATGCAAAGACCCAAAAACTTCCAAGGAGGCTTTGGAAAAGGCCTCATTGTTTTTGCCACATATGATGTTTTGGAAACTGGGTGAAAACTACCCACAGGTTTTCCATGAACTATTCAGCCTGGGGCAGGGGAAACTCAAAGCCTTCTGGCAAGGGGTTGCAAAAACCAATGATGACAAATTGAAAGATCACCCTATGTCTTTGGAAAAGGACTGGGAAGATCTTACTATCCCCTTGTTTGTTCATGGCGATGGTGTTGATTTTTCCAACAATGACAATTTAATGGTCTATTCCTGGGGCTGCTTACTCAGCAGCACCAGCACCTTGCTGAGCCACTGGCTCCTGGCCTGCTTTCCTAAAAGCTGTGGCAGCAAGACAACATGGGAAGCCATTTGGAAATACCTTAAATGGTCCTTTGAAGCACTGGCAGATGGCAAGCACCCAGCCATGGATCCAGACAACAAACCTTTGGAAAAGGGTTCAGTGCTCCACAAGCTAGCAGGCCAGCCATTGCACCCCAAAAGATACAAGGCTGTCCTGTGGAGTGTGATTGGAGACCATGAGTTTTTTGCTAACTCTTTGGGACTACCACATTGGAACAGCCATTGGCCTTGCTGGGAGTGTGATGCCCAGAACTTCAGCCCATGTACCTTTGGAAAAGGGTACAAGGAAATTTGTTTGGAAAAGCAAAAGTTTAAAGTCCTCACCCATGAAGAATGCCTGGCAGACCCATGGAGTGACCATGCCCTTTTCAAACTGAGCCACATCTCAAGCAAAAATGTCCGTGGAGATCCACTACACATCTTGTTCTGCAAAGGGCTTTATGGACATGTTCTAGGTTCATTCTCCATTATGCATGTTACATTGAAGGCCCTGGCCAAAGAGGCACTAAAAAGCCAGCAGACAGACTGGCAGTTCTCTTCAGTGAAATTCAAATTGAATACAGCAAACAGGAATGCAAAAACCGCTTGACAAATCTCAGGATGAGCATGTTTACAGACCCACAAAAGCCATGGGCCAAATATCCCCAATTGGATTGCAAAGGAGGGGAAGCCAGGCACCTCCTGCCAGCTTTCATTCCTGTTATCCAAAGGCTTTTTGAGGACACAATGGAAGAATGTGAGCAGCACATGGTCTTGGTGGCTACCAGTTTGGAAAAGCTGGTGAATCTCTGGGATGAGGTTGACACATTTCTCACTTCGTCACAGTACCAAAAAGGTTTGAAGCTGGCAGGTGATTTCCTGAGAAGCTATGCCTGGCTGAACCAATGGTCTTTGGAAAAGGACAGAAAGAGTTTTCACATAGTTCCAAAACATCACAGCTTCATCCATCTGGTGTGGAATTCTAAGTTTTTAAACCCACGAATACAATGGTGTTTCAAAGCTGAAGATTTTGTGGGGCAGGTGGCCAGATTGACCCATTCAGTCTCAATGGGAGTATCATCCACACGCCTGTCTTTAAAAGTTGCACCCAAGTATCGCATCTTGGTGCACCTTTTTTTGACAAGGTCCATGCAGGAGGAAAGTGGTGATTAGCTTTGGAAAAGGCACAGAGTAGACTGGAAACTTTGGAAAAGGATTTCAGCCTACTTGGGCTTTGGAAAAGGCCAATTGGCTTTGGAAAAAGCCAGAAGGGTTACTTAGCCAGCTGTGTGTACATATACATTTTAGGTGCAAAGCCGCCTAGAGATATGAGGCATGCCATCAAAAACTTGTCTGCTAGAGCTGCTTCTGGAAACAACTTTTTTGATCTGTTTTTAGAGGTTCCTTTTGATTTGCTCTTTTGATTTTTGCCTTTCAAAAACCATGTTTTTCAAATTGATTTTTGACTGAAAAAATCAATTAGGCAATTTGATTTCTTAGGCCTCAAAATCAAATCTTTTGATTGTAATCAAAAGGCGATGCTCAGGGGAACATGTGCCCCGGTCTCCTCATACGCCGCCAGACGCTCTTGCTTCAGCTGCTCTGCCGCACGCGCGGCTTCTTGTTTATTGTAGCCGATGTTCTTGAACTGCCACTCCAAGCAGTACTGGCTCCAATATGCATGCTGATCTTGGCCAGACTTGAAAGCAGACAAGGGTTTCCAGCAATGGTGGCAAGTCAGTCGACCACCTTTCCCGCTGTGTCCTTTGCCACCATTGCCTCTGGTCCACAGAGCCGCACTCTTCGGTGTCGCTCCCACCGCACGCGGCGACGGGGACCGCGGTGGCTGCAGCGAACGCGCCTTCGGAGCTCGCGCCGCTTCTTCTGTTTCCTCCGACTCGTCACGCGGAGGAGCCAAAGGCGGTGGATGGTCCGCTTCGCTTGAAAGCGGTGCCGCCGGGGCAGGTGCTGACCCACCGCCTGACCCCGCAGGTGCTGGCATGGCTTTGGGTCGCACAGCTACCTCCGGCTCCATTTCCTTGGCTTCTTCTTCGGTATCCTCCGAGTACATGCTACTTGACTCCTCTTCCTTGGGTTCCTTCTGCCCCGTCTCCTTCTTCACCGTCATCGGACAGCACCTGCTCAAGCAACTCGAATCAGACAAAAAAAGGTTATTGCCTTATACTATTTTTTGTTTAGCTGCATATTATACGTGTTATATAAGTATATATATACAGGGAAATATATATATATATATATACAGGGAAATGAATATATATATATATAATATATATATATATTTGTTTATTTAATATATTATCTTTCTCTCTCCGTCTATCTTTCCGTAGCAAACGTACTATATCAAGACCATAAGTTATGTTTTGAATCCTCCGCGCCTGCGCGCCCCCCAAAGCAACCGGAGGTGCCGTGATGCAGACACACTGGAGCCCATCTGCGTGAATGCGTCAACATATAACATGTGTCAACCAAACCATGCCGAGATGCAACTTCATGAGATACATGTGCTTCTGTTACTGTATTGTTTTACTTCACTATACCCACAATAATTTAGAAACCCCATCACACCGAGAAAACAGCCGCTCATTTTCTTTTCCCCATATTTCTTGAACCACAATCGAAGAGTTGGAAACTAAACCAGATAATCTACCAAGCGTTGCATGCCTAGTCTCCTAACTCAGTCAGAATTTCAGCGCGTGCCCGCAGCAACGCATCCCGTTGACTACCGCCTTTCACGTGAGGCACTAGCAATGCACACACTTGCTTGTGATGCTTCGGATGCGTGCTGCCCAAGATCATAACCCATTTCTTCCCTTCCTCTTCGAAACGGCGAATATAACTCTTGTGGGTGTAGTACTCCACCTTGCACTTGCCGTATCTCTTCGCCTGAAAGACATTATTTTGGAACTGAGGCCCTTCTACGTTCACCTTTCTTTCCTCTTCACGGGGGCGCTTGGCCGCAGGCCGTTTCAATGCAGCTGCTGGACGCTTCAGACCCTTGCCACCATAAGGCGGTGTGCTCGAGGATCCGTTCCCTTCTTTCTGCAGAAACTTCTCAGCCTTCACAGCTTGGCGGGCTTCCAAGAACTTGGCTGCATGCACCTCGTAGGTGCTCTGCTCGCCCATCTCAGCCCCCCGCTGCCTCTCGTGGCTTGCGAGCTCCCGCGCAGGGAGCTGCCTTTGCTGCATATCCCTGGCCGAACCTTCTCCCGTGGAGTCACCGACAAGATCTGCATCTCTCGTAGAGATCTCTTTCGACGGCTGCCTCGCAGGCGCAGAGGTTGCTTGCTCGTCTTTCACAGACGCAACACTCGGCTGATCTTCCAAGCAAAGCGGAGCCTGTGACGGCCTGTCACCGAGAGCTGCAAGATTTCTTGAAGCCTGCCCGGCCGTCACCAGATGCAGCTGTGATTGCTTCTCACCCGCTGCTGCTTCGCCAATACTTCTCCTCGTAGGAGAAAAAATCTTCAAGTTCTTCAAGCCACCCTGGCTGTCGCCACTGCTTCTTGCATTCGTCTGTCTCTGCAACAGCAGATCTGCCAAAACTTCCATTGGATTTCTCTTTTCTTGCTGAAGACTTGCATGCGTGCTGCGAATAGGAACTCGCAAGATCTGACGATCCACTTCCTGTGAGTCAATCGGCCACGGATCTAACGGTCGCGTCTGGCCAAACCGAGCCCGCAGCTCCTGTGTCAAATCATCGAAGTTGCCAGGTAATTTCAGCAATAACTCAGGCGGATCCGCATGGTCTCTGCTCAGCCGCGTCTTCATATTTGACCATGCAGTCTTCACTGTTTGCAACTTTGTCCGCAGATCAAAACTTGTGCACTTCGGATCAAAGCTTGCCAGAACTCCTGTCAGCACAGCGTATGTGTATTCCGTCGGCAGCCGCAACTGCAGAACAGTATAGAGAAAATACGCCAACTCATCGGCCCGGAGCCGATCCGAAGGTGCTTTCAAGATTCTTGACCACACACCTTCTGGCAAGAAAGCCAAACAAGTCGAATAATCTTGGTTCTTGCGCCTGCCCCCCGCGTGACAATGACCCTCAGTCATTGCAGAGCTTCCGCGCAGGAAAGCAAAAACAAAAGAAACAGACACACCAATGTGTGACGTTTGAACCCCAAATGGCTACTGTAGAATCAAGTCCTGAGATCTGTAAAGCACAGAAAAAGCAAAAATAGCTTACTAGACTTAAGTCAAACCTAAGTATGATCTAACTCCAACCTAACTAAAACATGTTAACTGGCCTAAGTTGATCTAAGTCTACTCAAGTAACTTATAAGTAATGATCTATACTTACAAGTTACTTAACATAACTTAACCTAAGTTAGATCAAATTGTAAGCAGCTTGTGAATAGCTTATAAGCCGATTGCAAACAACTTATATTTAAAAAAGACCTATAGGTAGACTTCACCAAGTCGTTCTTCATCAACTTTGAGTACCCTCTGGTACTTTCACAGTTTGCTGTTGAACATGGCACATTTCGAAATAGTTGATTTAGCTATCAAAAATGGGGATTTTCCATAGCTACGTAAACGTTAGAGGCTCAACGGTGGCCATGTGGATCCCGTCGGGTCCCCAGGGTCCCGTCCCGTCATGTCCCGTCCTCCTCACGCTGGCCATCGCGCGGGTCGCTCGACAAAGATACGTCGCGAACGAAGCCGGCGGAGCTGCTCCTGACTCCAGAGGCGATTCGGATGTATCATGTGGATGCATTTATTTATATATACATATATATATATATACATACATATACACACACACACATATATATATATTATTACTATGCATTTATTTAGTTTATAGTATATGATAAAATATTACAAATGGATAGGTGTATTAAATATATAAACACCGTGGAGTAGATCGAACACGCAACATCCGAAAATCCTCCCTTGAACGGGAATTAGTTGTAAATTTCCATAGTCTATCTACTCCAGGATTATTGTTATACAGTTATACACGTACATGTGTGTACACACGCGTTTGAATTTATATCACTGTATGCAGTTTATGGAATACTTACACAAAGTTTATTAAATATTATTCCTCGTTGATTTGAATGTGAGTATAGTTTCATAGTATCATAAATATATATATATATAAATAAATACATATATTTGCGTATAAACTATATACTAAATGCATGTATAACAGTAATACGTATCCTTTTTTTACATGTATATTTCTGTATGCGTCACGTGCATATCTATGTATGGTTACATCACATGCACGAAATCCGCCGACCCCGGCCTTCGCCAAGGCAGGGGCGGCGCCTGGGACCACCGCAGGTGTGGGGCCTGTTTTTGTTGGCTTGCCACTACCTTGCCTTCCGCCAGGCACTCAGGCCACTGCCCTCTGTTGTTAAGGGCGTTCAAGCCTGCTTCGAGCAGGCACTCAGGCCACTGCCCTGTGTTGTTAAGGGCGTTCAAGCCTGCCGTTTGCCACCTAAAACGCTGCGCGGCAGCTTTGAGCAGGCACTCCCGCCACTGCCCTCTGCTGCCGTTTGCCAGGCCTCAAATGCCTAAAACGCTGCGCGGCCGCTTCGAGCAGGCACTCCGGCCACTGCCCTCTGTTGTTAAGGGCGTTCAAGCCTGCCGTTTGCCAGGCCTCAAATGCCTCAAACGCGCGCGGCAGCTTCGAGCAGGCACTCAGGCCACTGCTCTCTGTTGTTAAGGGCGTTCAAGCCTGCCGTGTGCCAGGCCTCAAATGCCTAAAACGCTGCGTGGCAGCTTCGAGCAGGCACTCAGGCCACTGCCCTTTGCCAGGCCTCAAATGCCTCAAACGCTGCGCGGCAGCTTCGAGCAGGCACTCAGGCCACTGCCCTCTGTTGTTAAGGGCGTTCAAGCCTGCCGTTTGCCAGGCCTCAAATGCCTCAGGCCACTGCCCTCTGTTGTTAAGGGCGTTCAAGCCTGCCGTTTGCCAGGCCTCAAATGCCTCAAACGCTGCGCGGCAGGCCTGAGTGCCTGCCCTCTGTTGTTAAACACTGCGCGGCAGCTTCAAGCAGGCACTCAGGCCACTGCCCTCTGTTGTTAAGGGCGTTCAAGCCTGCCGTTTGCCAGGCCTCAAATGCCTAAAACGCTGCGCAGCAGCTTCGAGCAGGCACTCCGGCCACTGCCCTGTGTTGTTAAGGGCGTTCAAGCATGCCCTTTGCCAGGCCTCAAATGCTTCAAACGCTGCGCGGCAGCTTCAAGCAGGCACTCAGGCTACTGCCCTGTGTTGTTAAAGACGTTCAAGCCTGCCGTTTGCCAGGCCTCAAATGCCTCAAACGCTGCGCGGCAGCTTCGAGCAGGCACTCAGGCCACTGCCCTCTGTTGTTAAGGACGTTCAAGCCTGCCGTTTGCCAGGCCTCAAATGCCTCAAACGCTGCGCGGCAGCTTCGAGCAGGCACTCAGGCCACTGCCCTCTGTTGTTAAGGGCGTTCAAGCCTGCCGTTTGCCAGGCCTCAAATGCCTCAAACGCCTCAAACGCTGCGCGGCAGCTTCGAGCAGGCACTCAAGACACTGCCCTCTGTTGTTAAGGGCGTTCAAGCCTGCCGTTTGCCAGGCCTCAAATGCCTCAAACGCTGTGCGGCAGCTTCGAGCAGGCACTCAGGCCACTGCTCTCTGTTGTTAAGGGCGTTCAAGCCTGCCGTTTGCCAGGCCTCCAATGCCTACAACGCTGTGCGGCAGCTTCGAGCAGGCATTCCGGCCACTGCCCTCTGTTGTTAAGGGCGTTCAAGCCTGCCGTTTGCCAGGCCTCAAATGCCTCAAACGCTGCGCGGCAGGCCTGAGTGCCTGCCCTCTGTTGTTAAACACTGCGCGGCAGCTTCAAGCAGGCACTCAGGCCACTGCCCTCTGTTGTTAAGGGCGTTCAAGCCTGCCGTTTGCCAGGCCTCAAATGCCTAAAACGCTGCGCGGCAGCTTCGAGCAGGCACTCCGGCCACTGCCCTGTGTTGTTAAGGGCGTTCAAGCATGCCCTTTGCCAGGCCTCAAATGCTTCAAACGCTGCGCGGCAGCTTCGAGCAGGCACTCAGGCCACTGCCCTCTGTTGTTAAGCGCGTTCAAGCCTGCGACATGGCTCAACGCCCGGCTGTGGCCCCAAATTCTGCGGAGCTTTGTGCTACATGATTCCATCGATTGGTTTAGGTGTGAAAATTTCAGCCGGAAACCATATAAGCATATTATAACATCATATGTATATATATATATGTATATATCCGCACCCTTGAAAGGGGTCGGCGGCACCAGGGCGTTAGCCCATTCTATATAAGTCTATATGCATCTGCAAAAAATACACAGGCTGGTTGGTGGTTTCAACCCCTTTGAAAAATATTAGTCAGTTGGGGTTACTATTCCCAATATATGGAAAATAATTTTCATGTTCCAAACCACCAACCAGCAGGGTATATATGATGCTTCCGTTCTCTTCCTGTCATTTTGAAGTACTGTAACGACAAAAAACACAAAAAACACCTCTCCCATCCTCCATGCAGTGGAGCTACAGTAACCAAAGATTTCTGAAGAAACGTGCCTGGTAAACAAAGATGACTATGGAAAATCACCATGTCATATAATAGGTAAATCATGGTAAATCAATCATACATGGGCCATTTTCAATATGTGAAATTGCCGGTAAATCATGGCAAATTCTGGTGTCCATGGTTTTGCTGTTTATGACCCCATGTCGTTCTGAATGATCATATGCCTCCCAAATGTCATCTTTAATATTTGACGCTTTGTGGGTTGGCTATCTCCAAGTAAGGTCACAGTTCAGGTCTTCATCACCAGCATGGTCAACTCACGCGCTCCATTCCAGCCAAATGAAGATCGAGCGGCTCTATCCCTTCCCAAGTCACTTGTCGACTCATTGAATCTGCACACCTCGGTTTTCGACAATAGTACATAACGATGAGGGGGAGCGGAACATCCAAATTGATTACCCCGGGTAAACTAACGCAGCTCTGGAAATCCGATTGAAATCCCCATTGTTGATAGGTAAATCAACTATAAATGGCAATTTTCAATAGCAAACTGTTAAATTACCAGAGGGTAGCCTGCCTTCCGGCAGATGGGTGTAACTGCTAGATACACTGCTGCCCCGCAGGAAACTTCCCAAAACCGAATGTTTGACCCACAACCCAAACATTTTGTGGGAGAATTAACTAGCATCAACCAACTATACGAAATTAGGGTTGGCCACCCTCCACCACTGAAAATGGTATCCCTAACCCACTCTGAGAGACTATCTGTCTGTAACCAAATGTTGTTCATCTAACATGGCCATGTCTCCTGAATTTGGGCACCCCAACAGGCCCAGGATCCCTTCACTAACAGAAATACTCGCTTCAGTTGCATAAACTCAGGTGTCAAGATGAGTCAAAACAAAGCCATGAGCAAAATATGAGCACCCAAACGAGTCAAATTGCATACAGGACTGCGCAACTAGTTACAGCCGTATCATGGGAAATCGCCAGATTTTGGGATGATAAAATCGTTCCACAACCTGAAGAGTGTGGCCATTTGGAGGTCATTACATAATACCCTCATCTTGGGTCTCATCAGTGACGAGAAGAAAAGGGTTCGGTCGCGATGAAATTGACCCTCTGGTAATTTAGCAGTTTGCCAAAGAAAACCACAAATTTGAATAGGTACCAGATGGTCATTTTTTTTTGTCGGGCCAAACGGGATATTTGCCATGGCCATGTCAAGTTACCGGAGGGTACCCATATGATCTTAGATTCTGAGTTTGGTTCAAGCCCTGGCACAAGTCCTCAATGAAGACTTTAAATACTATTTTCATAGTGATATCATTAGACACAGTCCATGGTTGTTTCAGAAAAGTCCATGGTAACTCGTCCATTTTCAGGTCCGTATCCAGGTTGTGTATCTCTGAAATAGCTGCTTCATATCCACGTTTTGTTGGTTCAATCCTCCCTAAAAACCAATGAACTTCTCAACATGTTCCCAATTCAGACGTTGGACCCTGAGCTCGCTCCCTCCATGAAAAATCCATTCGCGTCCGGATAGTTTCAACCCATGTTTGTTCCATTCTCCCCATGATATCCCAATCT